GGTGTTGTGTCGGGAGCCAGCTCTGCAAGGCGTTTAACGCCTTTGTAATTTGGCTTGATGGACCTTAACCATATCCCTTCTGTCCTCCCATGTCCCTGTGCCGAATAAAAGGATTAGTCTCTTGTCAGGTGGTTTTAACGGCTTTAAATTAACTTCCTGATTCATATTAACGCAACTTGACAAGTATAGCGTGTGGGTCTGGTAAAGAGGGAGGTGTGGTGTACAGTGTATAAATAATGTTTGTTGATAGATGTTTTGTTAACCAACAGTGTAAAAACCATTGCCATGGGCCTCATCGACCTCATATGCACAACTGTCATAGCGCCCATGGGGATAAAGATCTACCAGTGCTACCAGGACCATATCCGATCGTTGAAGACCCTAGCACCTGTGATATTGTCAAGGCTACACAGTAAGTATATGTTTCTGTGTTGAAATACATGGGAGTGTCCTCAAATGTGAGCCAGGCTGGATATCTTTACAAAGGAAAATTTTACAGTTCCATTTTCTCCCCATAGTGAAAGAAGAAGAATCATGTAAAGACACTATTGTAAATATTTTTATCATAAACAATGGTATCTCAACCAGGTCTGTTTTGTAAGGTAGAAAATTCTATTCATCAAGGCTCAGCCCAGCTCTTTTTGCAAGACTTCTTTGAATGCGATGTGGAATTTGCTCAAGTAGAAACTGCTGGATGATGTTTACTGAGATTTATTTTTTCTTTAGTATGTGGCAGTCTGTAAACTTAACAAATGAATGATAAGTAAATTGATGTGGGTTTTTCTTCTTATTTAAGGTATGGAATAATAGAGCGATGCAAAGAACTGGTAGAAGCAGGATATGATGTTCGACAACCAGACAAAGAAAATGTGACTCTTCTTCACTGGGCAGCGATAAACAACAGACAGGAGCTGGTTAAGTAAGCTCTAGAGTCCTTGTGAAAGTAGCACAAGTATTCTGCCACTGTTATTTATAATCACTTTGTTGGTATTATACTTCAAAACAAAGGGAACGTGCTGCTTGAGAAGAAAATTTCAAATTTTAACCCAATTACCTTTGTGAAAATGTCGCTGAAATGTAAAGTTACCACAGTTTCTTTATATGTGAAATCATGCAGTACATGAAATCATTAGATTTTCCTGGGTTTGATTTGGTTTGTTTAACAAAGATTAAAGCTGATTTTATAGGTGCCTTGCTAGTTACTATATTTTTCCTTAAATGTTTCCTCAAAACAGCATCCTTTACTGCAAAAATACTCTTGTCCATTTGCCTCTCTAGTGATTTTTTTTTTTTAATTATGAGCTATTTATGAGCTCCTAGAGCTATCTTATCCTTAGTGTAATGTTTTAGTAGTCTATTATGTCTGTTCTTAATCATATTGTGTTGCTGTTATACAGATACTATATTTCCAAAGGTGCAATAGTGGATCAGCTAGGTGGAGATTTGAATTCAACTCCCCTTCACTGGGCCATTAGGTATGCTGCTTGCAACTACTAATTGTAAATCTGGTAGTATTAACAGTTACATTTTGTGTAGCACAGCAGTGGTTATCTTAAATCAAATTCTGTGGTGTGTTTATTTTTCTAAGGTATAAGGCATTTCACTGCATGTCCATAATAATGCTGAAATCTGTTCTCTGATTCCTGGCAACTTTGCAGACCACAAAGTTGTGTTATGTGTGTATCTGTGTTCTAGTCACTTGGACTCACATTTTGAATTTTCTCTGGGGATGAAACAGTACTGTTCAGACTTTGCCTCATAAGTCCTGCCTAACTGGACAAAGAAGTCTTGGCTGTGTTAGGTCACTGAAGTTAGTTTTTGATGCTTATTAGAGCACAGTTTAAGTCTGAAAGAGTTGTGGTCACGGTTCCCTCAGACTTTGGCCTGTCTAGCTGGTATGCTTTCAGTTGTTTTAGCTTCTGCACTAGATTCCCTTGGTGTATTCTCATAAGACTCGAGACTGCCAGTCCTGGACTTTAAAGCACAAGCATGTAGCAGAAGGACCAGTGTAAGACATCTTGTTGCTCAGAGGCGTGTAGAGAGGTCTTTGGCCTTCTTGCCCCAGTGGCATTAGCTTTTCCTCTTGGGCTCCTTATGGCTGCCACCACAAACATGCAGTGTCTCTTCCTGGGCGATGGTAGCTATTGGTGCTTGCGTATGTTTAATGCCTCTTTGGATCTGCTCTTTCTACACCTATGTCCACTCTAGACTACATCTGTTCAACCTGATACAGTTTAAAATCATACAGCTTTGGCTTCTAGGACAGGACTTGAGTAAAATGATCAAAAGAACAAAGCACTGCTTATCTGGAAAAACATTACCGTAAATAATTATTCTGGGATGACTTCTCTGAGTGCAAATTCTCACATTGGAAGATCAGTGCTTTCTTCCGGGCTATCAGTCTTCTGCTAAAGTTAGATACTTCTGAGAAAGACTGCTCACAGGAGAAATTACCGTAGAATAACCATTGTGTTTTAAATAACAGTTTGCCTTAGGCTGACTTGTTAAGGTATATATTTAATATAATTTTCTGATATAAACTTTTAATTTTAAAAGAAGTAATTTCCTGAATAAAAATACAAGAAAGGAAATTTTTTTTTGCGGGGTATCTATGAAAATGATTAAGGCAATACTTTCATTAAAATTTCCATCTTTTTTGTCATCTATAGTTTCATTTCATTTATCGTTACAGACAAGGACACCTACCTATGGTCATGTTACTGTTGAAATGTGGAGCGGATCCCGGTCTTATTGATGGGGAAGGATTCTGTAGCATTCATTTAGCAGTGCTGTTTCAACACATGCCCATTGTAGCTTACCTCATATCAAAAAGCCAGGTATGTTGTTGATATCCCAAGTACTGTTTTCTACTTATGTGTAGCGGCATGTGTGTATGATACATTTCAGAACTAACTGTTTTGTTTTCTAGATGATAAGCTGGTATTTGACAACTGTGTCCCTGTCCATAAGTTCAGAAAAACTTAGACTATTTTTTTGTGTGTGTGTATATATATATATGGTTTTGGGTTTTTTTTAATACTCTCCCTGGTCTTGTCATCCCCACACATACACATTCACATACAATTCAGAGCGTTTAAGGAGAGTTGTTAAGGCTATGCAGATTTATGGTGCTGTATAAATAACAACAGGCTTTTAAACCTGAGAACAAAAAGCAGTATATGAAGTATGTACATCATGAAGTATTTACTATTTGATTACAATTTTTTAACCTATAAACTGTGCAATTTTCCATCAATTGAAGCGTGCAGAATAGATGATCAGGTTAAGACTGAATTTTTTATTTAGAAAAATTTAGAAATTTCTATATTTTCTGTAATTTTATGTTGTATCCGCTCTAGTTGGTGTCTGTTAGCTTGCATCTGAAGTAAGCACAATTAATGACAAGTGAAACAATTTGCTAATAAAAATGAGAGGAGAGTTCTTACATGATCTAGACTGTTTCTTTGAAACACTGAGTATTAAGATTTAAAGGTTTGGTAAGTTTATTTTCTTCCTCAGGGAGCTCTCTTTAGTAGAGTAAATGACTTCTGGAATGTAGGTATAGATAGTTTGTGATATATAAGAAAGTTTTTAGCCCACCTATCTTCTACTAAAAAATCCAAGTGATTAAATATTTCTTTTAAGTAAATCTGCTCTAATGGAATGATGGGTGGAGGCGGGGAAGAAGGAAACCTTCATTGTGAAAAAGAAGGAAGAAAATTAGCTAATGCAAGTTAGATGTTTAAATAATTATGTCGAGATACATAATCAATCAATCCTTTTTTATTGTTTTAATAAACCAGTTTTATGTGCTTGGACATTCTGTTATGTACCTCTGTTTACACAAGGAAGATGGTTAACATTGCTTTACAAGGTATATTTTATTTATAGTATTTTTGTGCAAAAGAGGACAAGAAGTATGGTTAACATGGTTCCCTTAGAAATATCCTTAGTGGAGACTCAGCATATTCTGAAAAGAATGACATGCCAGACTCATAGAGGGGATGAAAAAATGTTTAATTTAGTGTTGGTTTCTTGGTTGGTATAATTTGGTTTTTTTCCAGTACTGCAGTGAAGGTAAGCCAGTTGTATAGCTGCATATATGACCATCTAACTCTGTTTCCTGAAATCACTGGTAATCACTTGCTTGTTATCTTTTTCTTATACTTAGAGCATAGACACAACAGACTTCAATGGACAAACACCTTTAATGTTATCAGCACAAAAAGCGATTGGGTAAGTAGTGATAACTTAAGAAAAATCTATTTTATTGTACCCAAGAAGCAGTGAGGTGAATTTTTTCTTACGAAATTTTTTGTTAAGCTGACATTCCTTTCCATTTCAGTTGTACTAAAATATGCAGTGTTTCAGAAATCAGGAGTTAGGAAGTAGCTTATTGGATATAGCAAAGAAAGTCAAAAGAATTTCTAAAAGAAGTTTAGGTTTATGGCTGAACTGTCTGCAGCATTATTGTGCTTTCCCAGAAATGAAAATAAATGGAGCGAAAATGCATTTAGAATAAATAAAATGTGGAGATGTAAGCTTCTACACAGTGTTGTAGAAAGATATAATCTGTGTATATACCTCATATTTGTTAAAATGGTAAGATAACATAGTCTGGAGAAAAACCCTCAAGGCAAGTCCTGAATTATAAAGTTGGATCTACCGTTGATAAGCTTATTCTGAGGCAAGGCATTGTGTATCTGCTGTTATTTCACAGGTGGGAACAGTGTTTTTTATAATTTGGTCAAAAGTTTCATCTCCAGTATATATTATCTTCTGTTTATTAACTTTTATACTTTGTTTTCATCTAGACCAGAACCCACGAGGTTTCTCTTAAAGTTTAACCCCTCTCTCAATGCTGTAGACAATGTTCAGAAGAATACTGCACTGCATTGGGCAATAACATCAGGAAATACTAGTGCAGTGGATCTGTTGCTGGAAGCTGGTGCTAGCCTGGACATAAAAAATGTCAAGGTACAGTTTCTTTCATGATATTTCAATCCATGTGGCATGAATGTGTAAAATGAATGTAAAGAAAAGTCTGAGTCCTCTCCCCTTTGCAACAGGAGTAGACTAAGAACAGGTGTTCTTAATCTTTCCCAAAATAAATTAGCACCTTTCTTGTGGTGTGGCTCAAAGTATGAATGCAGAGATTCTTTGCAACGTTCGCTTAAGGAACAGCCAAGCCTTTTGATCACTCTGAACATAATTGTGTCTTTTGCAGATTCTCCCACACATGCACTTTTTTCCCCCTTCTCCTTTTTTTTTTTTCCGCCCCCCCTTCTCCTTTTTTTTTTCCGCCCCCCCTTCTCCTGGTCGTCCCCCCCACACTTCTCCTGGTTGTCC